TGTTTGGGTTAGTCGGATTTAGTGTGATTTTTGGGATTGCTTCGTCTGAATCAAGGGCTCTGGCTACTGCATTCGTTAATGTATGGACGTGGCTTTCTATGTCAGCTGTGTTTATATTTTGGATGTTGGGGATGGGTCTGAGGTTCTGTAGGATTATTGTATTCCAGTGGATCGGACTTATTTTCTGAAAATTGAGTAGAGACTTGGGTTGGTTGTATGTTAGTTGGTTCTGTCCTAGATTTATGGTAAGGGTTATTCCAAAGTGGTCTAAAGGGAAGTCTTTTATGGTTTTGAAGCCGTAGGTATATGTTAAGCTGTCTATTGGGGTTGAGGAGGACGCTAAGAAACAATCAATTGAGGAGGCTCCTATCGGATTCGGTCGGGTGGGGTCTTGGGTTGGGTGTAGAAACAAGAATGGTTGGTCTGGCAGCCATCTCTCCAAGCTATTTCCAGACGTGTTGGTGTGTTCTGGACGGTACTCAGGCTTATTCCAAGATGGGTGTTTCGCGTTCAGGTCGCATCCTACTACGAATTGCTCATGCTCCTCTATTTTAGCCAACGAGTGCATTAGGATGTCCAAGTCTGTGCCTAGCAGAGGATCCTGAGGACGCAGGTACAGAGAGATTGCAATCAGTCCCGTTCTTATGTTGCGTCTGCTGGTGTGGAAAATTTGCACTGCCACAGCCTCTATGTATTGCATTTGGTCGATTTTTACACGTTCGTATTGAGACCATTTCTCACGCAAATGGCCACTGACGTTGCAGGGCTTCTTGTGTTGTTCTGCACGGTTGCTAAGCTTGGCATCTGCTGTCTCACGAATTGGTAGTGGCTTAATCCGGGTGAGTGTAGGCATCGCAGATTGCGCTCAGCGATCAGCATCAAATCTCGCCTGTGTTTGTTAAGCAGTTGCCATTGACGTTTTGGAACATGATTTTTACTGGCATTTTAGTTGAGCGCGATTTGAATAAGGAAGTCTAGAATTAATTGCCATTTTTCCTTCATATCCGTGCTGGAGTTTGCATATTTTTTTACAACGGATTGCATGATGTCGAAGCAGGTAAGTAGATCTTTTACAAATGCATCCACAGAGTCCCCATTCAGTTGTTCAAATGCAAAACTGGCGTTTTCTTCCGCTCTTTTGGGTTTCTCCTGGCATTATTTGGGTGTTTCCTTCACTTGTGGAGGCATTGGTCGGCTTTTGGCAGCTGAGGCGTAGCTTCGTCCCTTTTCAAGTCGGCTTTGTGGAGGTGCTGGAGTTGTGATGGGCTTGTTGGCTTTACTTTGTGTAGTATTACGCCGTTCGGATACTTTCCTAACATATTCCATTCCGTTGGCCGTATGATTACACTAGTCAACACTAGAATTATGCTGTGGCCCAAAATTTCTGCATATATATATTGTAACCGATTATAATTACTCACGGCAGCGTCAGTTCTTTCGCCTTTTAATATATCTCCTTCTTCATTTTCTACTGCAGCTGCAACATCTATGCTTTTCTCTCGCATTCTCTCTCTCTATCTATCGCTCGTGCTCGGGTCAGTAACAGCCGAGCTTCTATCGCTTCTTTCGTTTTCTCTCTCGCTTGCATTAGGGCACAGGCAGTTCGGTCCGCCTGTCCTCTTTTAGTCCCGCATTCCCGCCCGCACTCACGTTCTACCGTCTTGATCAATCACTCACTTCTCTCGCATATTGAACAGACCCTGCGTCTTCAATTCTCGCTTTGATTTGATCAACCGGCACCTCTCGCTTTATTTCGCTACACCTACGCACCCCATATTTCGCCTACTTAACAAATAAACTGTACACACATAAAGTATATTGAATCGCTCGACTTCTTAATTTAATCTAAGTTCAACAGCTGGTGAAAAAGCTCGCTAGCTCAACAGCGTCAATGGTATCATTGTTGAAGTCCTCAAAGGAGAGCGTCAAGTCTTTTTTATACCCGTACTCAAAAAAGAGTTAAGGGGTATGTTAGATTTGTGGTAAAAGTGGATGTGTGTAACGCAGAGAAGGAAACGTTTCCGACCCCATAAAGTATATATATTCTTGATCAGCATCAATAGCCGAGTCGATAGAGCCATGTCTGTCTGTCCGTCTGTCCGTCTTGTTTGACGTTTGGATCTCAGAGACTATAAAAGCTAGAGGAACCAAATTTTGTTTCCAGACCCATGTGATATCACACTGCTACAAGTGTATTTCAAACTTTTGCCCCGCCCCCTTCCGCCCACACAAAGAACGAAAATCTGTGGCAGCCACAATGTTCAGGATACGCTGAAACTAAAAACCCAGTATCGTAGAGAATGACCATATCTACCAGATTGCCGAATCTGAATCAGATCGGATCATAATTATAGCCAGAATGAAGAAATTAATTTTCAGTTCCTTCCCCTGCCCACCCTCCAGAAAACGACATCGCAACTCATTTTCCTTCTCGCTCGCACACTCTGCCGCGTTCAGTGCGCGAGCAACCCCTAGCGGAGGAGATGTATAATATAAATGATACATGTACATGTAGATAGCAGATGTAGCAACAAAAAATGTAAAATGTGAAATTTTTTTATTATTCAAAAATTCTAAAAAATCAGAAGCTCAAAAATGAGTACGGGTATGACTGAGTACGGGTATGCGACTCTACTTATACCCGTCCCCAGAAGCGACTCACACGTTCCTTCTCGTTTCGTCATGTAATCGTGTAACTTGGGGGAACTTGTCATTATTGTATTTTGTCTAGCTAGTGGTGGTGCTGTCAGTTTGTTTTTGGGAAATAGAGACGCATAGGTTGCCTCTCTATTTTGGGTATGGTCCCTTTTTTGCTGTATTTTTTCTAACGCTGCAAGACGGATTGGACAGATTTTTGCATTGGCCGTGTGTTGGCCTTTGCAATTAACGCATTTTATGTCATTTTTTGATTGTCTGGCGTTTTTTGGATGGCGCATTGCCCTGGGCTATGCTCCTCCAGGCACTTGATGCATCTGTATGCCAGATGCTCGCAACGTGCGAGAACCGTTGGCAATTGTGGCACTGCAGTATTGAGTTCTTATTGGGCCTAAGTGGCTCAATCGCTATGCGACAATTAAGTAGGGTTCTAAGGGCTATTATTCTCTTGATATTATCGATGTTCCTCTCAGTCTGGACCAACCAGAATTTTTCTTTAAAAGGCTGAATTGTGGTGAACTCTATCCCTGGAAGGCTTTCCTCAAGCGACCCCTTGATCTCTTCAACATTGTAAATTGTTAATGGGATTTTTTTATTAGGAATGTATATGGTTTAAGTTCCCTATATGTATATGTAAAGTATTTGATCTGGTTGAGTTCAATTATCTGTTTGGTCTTCGTAAAGCTGGCTAGGCTTGTAGCCTTTATATGAGTCAGATTCTTGTTCTTAATGTCTAGAGTAAAGTTAACATTATGGTGCTTAAGCATTGTTGCTAATATCTTAGGGTTAGCACTATAAGTAGATATTGAAGGAACATACGGGTTTTTTTTTGTTGATACTGCTGCTGCTGTTGCTCTGGCTGTTGATGTTGAGGCCGCTGCCGCTGCTGATGTTGACGCCGCTGCCGCTGCTGCTGATGTTGATGCCGTTGCTGTTGAAGCCGACGCCGCTGCCTTTATTGATGTTGACGATGCCGACGTGGTGCTGGTCTTCTTCTTCTTCATCATCTTTGTGGGCGTTGGGCTTGACGAATCCTTTTGACGTTTTTTCCCCAACGAGGGATAGTCAGAGTCAGAGTCCGTGAGGATTCCGCTCTTGTTACAGTTGTTCTTGTTGTTACAGTTGTTCACGTTGCTCATGTTGTTCATGTTGTTGATGGCTGTCTGTAGCTCATCATTTATTTTCTCCAGTCTATTGTTCCGTTCTCTCAGGTGTTGTAATTCGGTCAGAATTCCATCCAGTTGCATGGGAGTGATGGTTTGGAACAGGAGTTCCATGTCGCACTCGTCATCGCCTTCGTCGACCATGACTTCATGGCTGTGACAAGCGGCGGCTAACTGGGACATATCCATTTTGGGTTTTGCGCGTTTATGTTTATGTTTTTTCACTATGCGGCCATAATCATTTTTCAGTACTGCCTCGAGCTGACCGCCATCCGGCAGCCACGACACGGGTCTTATTAATTTTTCTTTACTTATGCTGCGCCTCTCAATGTTGTATTTATTATTATGCCGTTCGTTTAAATTGGCTTCACTGACTTTTTTCGTTGTCCACATACGACTATATATGATTTTCGTTTTGCCTTCGATGCTTGGCTTTAGTGTCAATTTCACGATTTACTCTGGTTTCTGTCCGTCGATTGTTGTCACAACGTACACCCCGTGCTCCGGTCTTTAGAAAGACAGGGCCCGTTTTTAGAAATAAATTTCTCGGATGTGCGACTATTCTCTTTGATTTGATTTTTCCTTCCAATGCAAGTTTTCGCCATTATTTGTTACTGATTTTTAGTAACGATTTTTTTACGATTTTTTTTGACTATCACTGGTTTTTTTTTTTTTTTTTTGTTACTGATTTTGTTTGTAGGCATTTCGGAATTATTTGTATCGCCCCAAATTGTATTCCACACAATTATTATTACGGAACATACCCACATGTTTCATTAACATTACAACAAAGAACAGAACTCATGAAGAATATACATATGCTAATACATTTAATGCGGATCATATACGCTATGGATTTATTGGATGATTCTACAATTCATTTTCGTTTTCTATTTTTTTTGTTATTTAAAAAAACAAGCTTATTTAATTTATTATGCGAGGATTGGTGGGGAAACCTTGGCTTTTTAGTAAGTTAGGGTCCCCAGAAAGGATTTTCTTTACAAGTCTTATTTTGTTTAAGTTGCTTTGAGCAGTAATGCCGTATATTAGGAGTAATTATTTCCATATGGGACCTAGTATGTACATATTTTATTTGGGGGAAAATAATGCGAGTATGTAGAAATAAAAAATCTCAATGTTAAGTTATTTGTGGTCCTGAAAAGGACCGATTTGTATAGTTTATATGCGCTTGTCGAAGAAATGTCAACTTAAGCACGCTCGCCACGAATACGTCTGGCCAGTTGGATGTCCTTGGGCATGATTGTGACACGCTTGGCATGGATGGCACACAAGTTGGTATCTTCGAAGAGACCGACCAGATAGGCTTCGCTAGCTTCCTGCAGGGCCATTACTGCTGAGCTCTGGAAACGCAAGTCGGTTTTGAAATCTTGAGCGATTTCACGAACCAACCGCTGGAAAGGCAGTTTGCGGATCAGCAGCTCGGTACTCTTCTGGTAACGACGGATTTCACGCAGGGCAACAGTGCCAGGGCGATACCGATGAGGTTTCTTCACGCCACCGGTTGCTGGAGCACTTTTACGTGCGGCCTTGGTAGCCAGTTGTTTGCGTGGCGCCTTGCCACCAGTGGATTTACGAGCAGTCTGTTTGATACGGGCCATTTTCACTCTCAACGTTCGAATTTACAATAAGAGAAACCACAGATATTTCCACAGATATTTCGTTTATTGTCAGTAAAGTGTTATTTGATACAGCTTAAGTATCTATTTTATAAATATATCCAATTGACAAGGTTAGATATATTTAACATGAGTGTTTAGAAAATATTGCCCTGTGCTTTAGAGCTTTTCCGGGCTTTCGTATTTTTTAGTGATTAAGTTTACATATGTATTTACAAAAAGATTTTGTTTTGATTATATTCTTATTTTAGACATTTTATGTTTGTATATTATAGGAAAAGGTAGTTTTTGTAAAAAACCTATATGACATGATTTTGATTGTTTTGTTTGTTTTGTGTATTTGTGTGTGTGTGTGTGTGTGTGTGTGTGTGTATGTGTAATTGTGTGACCTATAAACTAAGACTAGTTTGGGGGGGGGGGGGCTTATTTACAGGGGTGTGTTGGGATGGAAATGGGATAAGGGAGGTAGACAATGAGAATTTTAATTTGTTTTGATTATTGAGCTATGTTGTATTTTAGGTTATTTGGGTCTAGTTGATTGGTGTATATTTGATATTTTTTCGAATGCAAATTGCGACAGAGCCGCCTCTTTTCTTATTGTTATTGTTATTGACTTTGATTTGTGTTGCTAATTGCTCTTGGCGAACGAATTGATAGTTATTTAGATGTACTTCATTTTTAATTGATAACCTATGCTCCGCTATGAACATTATGCTTGGCTTGTGTGTATTTAAAAATTGCTGTAGTTCAGCTCTCCTATGCAGAGAGTGCAGCGAGTTTACGTTTTGGAAAATACATTTTAGTGTGCTCATAATGAGTACTTTGCTGTCACTGACCTCATTATTGCGATACAATCGAAGATATTTCTGCCGAATATATCTTGTGCATCATTGTTGAAGCTATCAATTGTTATTGTGTGGTTGCTTATGTTTGTGGGATGGGGTCTTTCTTGTTGTGTCTTTGGCCTCTCCCGCAGCCGTTTATTGATGTGTGCCTCCAACACAGGATTGGAGGTGATTGGTGATTTTGGTTGATTTGACTTAAATTTATTGTTATTAAATAATGATGCAAAAGTTTGGTTATTTTTTATAATTGATTGACATTCTGATTTGCTTAAGTCATGATTTGGTATTGCGTTTTGGCCACCCCCATTGATATTATTATACCTGTTATTATTGTTTCTTTTCAGAGTTCTAAGTTCCTGAAGTTTTGTAAGCGTTGTCTGCCGAATCGGACAGATTTTGGCATTAGCTGTGTGCTGCCCCTTGCAGTTAACACATTTAATGTCTTCGGACGGATTATCAGTCTTTTTTATTGGGCATTGCCCTGGATTATGCTCGTTCAAACATTTTACACATCTGTATGATAATTTGCAATTGCTTGCAATATGCGAAAATCGTTGACAGTTGTGGCATTGGACGATTGCATTTATATGTGGTTTCAGGGGTTCTACTGCTATGCGGCAGTTTAGTAATGTCTTGAGGTTTAGTAATTGCCTAATGCTTTCCTGGTTTTTTTCTATTTGCACTAGCCAAAATTTCTCTTTGAATGGTTTAATATTTTCAATTTTTAAATCTGGCAAGCTCTTATTTAGTGCCCCCGTTACTTCCTCTATATCATATGTGCTTAAGGGTATTTTTTTAATAAGACATGTGTATGGCTTCAGTTCTTTTGGTGTATGTGAGAAGTATTTAATTTGTTGCTTATCGAGTATTTCCTTAACTTTAATAAATGATGCTAAGTTTATAGTCTTAAGGTGTACGAGATTTTTATTCTTAATGTCTAATATGAATGTAATGTTGTGGTTTTTTATAATATTAGTAAGTAACTTAGGGTTGTAATTATAGATAGATATGTTAGGAACTTGTTGCTTTGGTTTTACCATATTTGATGCTGCTGCTTCCGCTGCTGCCGTCGCTGGAGATGATGACAACGTTGCTGCTGCTGCTGTCGCTGCTGAGGATGATGATGCTGCCGTCGCTGCTGAAGACGATGATGCTGCTGAAGATAATGACGTTGCTGTCGCTGCTGAAGATGATGATGTTGCTGCCGATTTTTTCTTTGATGATACTGCTTCACTCGTGCGTTTCTTTTTTTTGTTGTTTACGATTGGTGATTTGGTTTTTTGTCTTTTTTTCCCCAATGATGGGTATTCAAAATCCATTTCGGATTCGGTATTACTGCCTTCATAGCCATTTATTTTTTCTTGCATGTCGGCCAATGCTTTCTCTAGCTGGGTGTTTCTTTGTTTTACCCATTCTAGTTCTTGGAGTACTTGGTTTAAGTCTTTAATTTTTACCACTTGGGTAGCGTCGTTGATATCGGGAGCCTGAGAATGGTCTGGGGGCTGTGCATGGGCCGCATCAACCTCCTCCTCGTCGTCGTCCTCCATTCCGGCCCCGATCATATTGACGCCGATGCTCCGACGCCGCTGTTCCGTTTTCGATGTATAGGTGGACGCTATTTCGCCCTTTTCGTTTTTTAGTATCGCTGTTAGTTGGTTGGTATCCGACAGCCACCTCACTGGTGGTATTATTTTGCTGCTGCTCACTGTTGTTTTTATTTTGTATTTTTTTCTTATTATGATGCGCCTCTCAATGTTGGGCTGCCCATCAGTATTGGTTTTGTTATAAAGGTTGAAAATTTCGGCTCGGGACTTGTTCCTTACCGCTCCCTTTGGGCCCTCCTCCGGTCTTGAAAAAGACCCTGAGTTGCGTTGGCCGTTTATGCTAGAGTTATTAATGTTTTTTACTTTTATTCTGATTTTGGTTTTTGCTCTCACTCTCCACATACACTTTTGGTATATTTTGAATGTTTTTTTTTTTTTGTTGTTTCACAATGTTTTCAATAGTTCAAGTTCAATTAATTTTTATTTTGTCGCTTTTTTTTGTAACTATCGCAGAAACAGCGTGCCCTCCTTCGAAATTTTGAGAAGCGCAGAGTACGGCGTTGAGCTTTTGACATTTTTGTACTGCGCTTTAAGGGTGGCTTTTGACCTAGTTTCACACTTCATTGACTTTAATTAAGTACAAGTATTAACAAATTTCCAATTTTTTTCGACTACACCCATAAAACACGAGACGCTCTTCAATATACAATGATAAACAATTCATTTTTCTAAATATTACTTTTTTTTATCCAACATTTAATCAGACGTGGACCAGCTTCAATACCCATATTTTCGACAAAAACTCACTTTTTTCGCTACTAATCGCTATTAATGCTAATATAAGGGTATTAAAATGATAGACTACGGCAATTCCACCAACATGCTCAACAATTCAACAACATTATACGCCCGCATTGTATCTATACGTTTCAATTTAGGTGCATGCCACGGATGGTGGTGGATTTTACTAGAGACAGCCACCGCAACGTTTTTCGACAGAGCGAGATGGAAGAAAATTGAGCGACATAGAGTGAGATACACATATTCCCATACGAATTGAGCGAGCCGTTCCAAATTTGAGAGAGAGCCAACTCGTCCAACGGGTTTGTACTTGGTGGTTGATTTCACTCATTCTCATATTATATTCCGAGTGAAAAGATAAAAATACATACATATGTATGTATGTGATATGTATATGTCAAATGTATATGAAATTGAATTTATTGGTCATTGGAAAAGCTTGGATACTAAAATTACGTTAAAATAATGTCATAATGTAATACGTCAAAAAACTATAATAATATTGGTTATAATTTATGAGGTTGTTCAGCTGGTTGTTTCTGATTAGTTCATCCCAAAAAAACTTATTTGATTCCCCAAATAAATGAGAATTATTTGTATCGCCCCAAATTGTATTCCACCCACTTATTATTACGGAACATACACACATGTTTCATTAACATTACAACAAAGAACAGAACTCATGAAGAATATACATATGCTAATACATTTAATACGGATCATATACGCTATGGATTTATTGGATGATTTTCCCACAATTCATTTTCGTATTCTATTTTTTATTTTAAAAAACAAGCTTATTTAATTTATTATGCGAGGATTGGTGGGGAAACCTTGGCTTTTTAGTAAGTTAGGGTCCCCAGAAAGGATTTTCTTTACAAGTCTTATTTTGTTTAAGTTGCTTTGAGCAGTAATGCCGTATATTAGGAGTAATTATTTCCATATGGGACCTAGTATGTACATATTTTATTTGGGGGAAAATAATGCGAGTATGTAGAAATAAAAAATCTCAATGTTAAGTTATTTGTGGTCCTGAAAAGGACCGATTTGTATAGTTTATATGCGCTTGTCGAAGAAATGTCAACTTAAGCACGCTCGCCACGAATACGTCTGGCCAGTTGGATGTCCTTGGGCATGATTGTGACACGCTTGGCATGGATGGCACACAAGTTGGTATCTTCGAAGAGACCGACCAGATAGGCTTCGCTAGCTTCCTGCAGGGCCATTACTGCTGAGCTCTGGAAACGCAAGTCGGTTTTGAAATCTTGAGCGATTTCACGAACCAACCGCTGGAAAGGCAGTTTGCGGATCAGCAGCTCGGTACTCTTCTGGTAACGACGGATTTCACGCAGGGCAACAGTGCCAGGGCGATACCGATGAGGTTTCTTCACGCCACCGGTTGCTGGAGCACTTTTACGTGCGGCCTTGGTAGCCAGTTGTTTGCGTGGCGCCTTGCCACCAGTGGATTTACGAGCAGTCTGTTTGGTACGGGCCATTTTCACTCTCAACGTTCGAATTTACAATAAGAGAAACCAAGCCCTCTGCTAGCTTATATAGCATTCTCGTTCTTCTGGCGGAGGGTTGAAACGACAGAACGAGAGCAGCCGAAGCATGCTGTTTCATTTCCCGAACGAGATGCACATATCATTCGGACTCACTCGTGTTTCTATGGCATTTTGGTATAAATAGCAGTGCGAGAAAAATTTTACTTACATTCGCTCCCGTTCTTCGTAAAGTGAAACATAAGCATATTGAAAAATGACTGGTCGTGGTAAAGGTGGCAAAGGCTTGGGTAAGGGAGGCGCTAAGCGTCATCGCAAGGTTCTGCGTGATAACATCCAGGGTATCACGAAGCCCGCTATCCGCCGTTTGGCTCGTCGTGGCGGTGTAAAACGTATCTCCGGACTCATCTACGAGGAGACTCGTGGAGTGCTGAAGGTGTTTTTGGAAAACGTTATCCGTGATGCCGTCACCTACACCGAACACGCCAAGAGGAAGACAGTCACAGCCATGGATGTTGTGTATGCTCTGAAGAGGCAAGGCCGCACGCTGTACGGCTTCGGCGGTTAAGAAACTGTGTACAGTCTGCTGTTTGAAAGTATCCAGAAAGTAAACAATCGGTCCTTTTCAGGACCACAAAATAATCAAAAAGAGAGGCATATTTTCATATTAATTGATATAAAAAAAAACAAGATTCAAAGCAGAAAACATGAACCTTGGCTTGGCAATCCAACAATATGAGGTGCTCCCATCTAAGCGACCGAAGAAAACTAGTGCATTCAGCATAGCATGGCATGATATGTATTTAAATACCCTAGAATTCGTCTTTCAGACACGTCGAGCACAACTGAACTAGTTCTGAAAAGGACCGAATTTAGCGCATACCTGGCGAGATATATTGTTTAGGTATAATTCGGCTGGTAACATTTGGTTCGTTTTTTGCCTGAAATTTACTGGAAAAGCGAAATCTCAGGTACACAAATTATGTCAGACACCAGCCTCAGCCCCTTGAATTCTTTCGTCTTTCAGGTGAGTCGAGCACAACTGTACTAGCTGAGGCCCATCTGTTTGGTCGTTCTGAAAAGGACCGAATTTAGCGGATACCTGGCGAGAGATATTGTTTAGGTATAATTCGGCTGGTAAAATGTGGTTCGTTTTTTGCCTGAAATGTACTGGAAAAGCGAAATCTCAGGTACACAAAGTATGGTCCCCAGACACTCAGCCTCAGCCTCTTGAATTCTTTCGTCTTTCAGGCGAGTCCAGCACAACTGTACTAGCTGAGGCCCATGCGACCATGGGATTGGTCGTTCTGAAAAGGACCGAATTTAGCGGATACCTGGCGAGAGATATTGTTTAGGTATAATTCGGCTGGTAAAATTTGGTTCGTTTTTTGCCTGAAATGTACTGGAAAAGCGAAATCTCAGGTACACAAAGTATGGTCCCCAGACACTCAGCCTCAGCCTCTTGAATTCTTTCGTCTTTCAGGCGAGTCCAGCACAACTGTACTAGCTGAGGCCCATGCGACCATGGGATTGGTCGTTCTGAAAAGGACCGAATTTAGCGGATACCTGGCGAGAGATATTGTTTAGGTATAATTCGGCTGGTAAAATTTGGTTCGTTTTTTGCCTGAAATGTACTGGAAAAGCGAAATCTCAGGTACACAAAGTATGGTCCCCAGACACTCAGCCTCAGCCTCTTGAATTCTTTCGTCTTTCAGGCGAGTCCAGCACAACTGTACTAGCTGAGGCCCATGCGACCATGGGATTGGTCGTTCTGAAAAGGACCGAATTTAGCGGATACCTGGCGAGAGATATTGTTTAGGTATAATTCGGCTGGTAAAATTTGGTTCGTTTTTTGCCTGAAATGTACTGGAAAAGCGAAATCTCAGGTACACAAAGTATGGTCCCCAGACACTCAGCCTCAGCCTCTTGAATTCTTTCGTCTTTCAGGCGAGTCCAGCACAACTGTACTAGCTGAGGCCCATGCGACCATGGGATTGGTCGTTCTGAAAAGGACCGAATTTAGCGGATACCTGGCGAGAGATATTGTTTAGGTATAATTCGGCTGGTAAAATTTGGTTCGTTTTTTGCCTGAAATGTACTGGAAAAGCGAAATCTCAGGTACACAAAGTATGGTCCCCAGACACTCAGCCTCAGCCTCTTGAATTCTTTCGTCTTTCAGGCGAGTCCAGCACAACTGTACTAGCTGAGGCCCATGCGACCATGGGATTGGTCGTTCTGAAAAGGACCGAATTTAGCGGATACCTGGCGAGAGATATTGTTTAGGTATAATTCGGCTGGTAAAATTTGGTTCGTTTTTTGCCTGAAATGTACTGGAAAAGCGAAATCTCAGGTACACAAAGTATGGTCCCCCAGACACTCAGCCTCAGCCCCTTGAATTCTTTCGTCTTTCAGGCGAGTCCAGCACAACTGTACTAGCTGAGGCCCATGCGACCATGGGATTGGTCGTTCTGAAAAGGACCGAATTTAGCGGATACCTGGCGAGAGATATTGTTTAGGTATAATTCGGCTGGTAAAATTTGGTTCGTTTTTTGCCTGAAATGTACTGGAAAAGCCAAATCTCAGGTACACAAAGTATGGTCCCCCAGACACTCAGCCTCAGCCCCTTGAATTCTTTCGTCTTTCAGGCGAGTCGAGCACAACTGTACTTTCTTAGGTAACTTCTTCGTTATCAATTAACAGAAAATAGAGTCGCTTAGCCTGCATAAATATGTATTTTAATTGTCTGTTGATGCGACACCAAGCCGAAGCCTGTTACCTAAGTAGATTACACTTTAGAATGATAATAAATTATGAAAATTCTCTTAATTCTTTAGCCATGGTTTGGTCGTCCTGAAAAGGACGTTTGGGTTTATATGTACATTTACAAGAATGTTAGTTGCTGTGGCTATTGGAACATTTATGCCTTCTTCTCGGTCTTCTTGGGCAGCAGAACGGCCTGGATGTTGGGCAAGACTCCACCCTGAGCAATGGTGACGCCCGAGAGCAGCTTGTTCAACTCCTCATCGTTGCGAATGGCCAGCTGCAGATGGCGAGGGATAATTCTCGTCTTCTTGTTATCACGGGCAGCATTGCCTGCCAACTCTAGAACTTCAGCGGCCAAGTATTCCATCACGGCAGCCAGGTAAACAGGAGCGCCGGCACCGACACGCTCGGCATAGTTGCCCTTGCGAAGCAGACGATGAATACGACCAACAGGGAACTGAAGACCAGCACGGTTCGAGCGAGACTTTGCCTTTCCCTTCACTTTGCCACCTTTACCACGACCAGACATTTTAATAGTAGATATTTATTTATTTCACTGTTCACAAACGAATTGAGTTGAGCACCCAATGACGCTATATTTATACCTTTCCGTCTGCTTGAGCGTTCAACCTAGGGGTGGGTTTTCCGCCTGTATGTTTAACTTGAATAGACTGCTCGAATAAAAGTATAAGGTTTGGTTTTTTTTACGCTCACCACGCAAAGTATAATTTGTGAAAGTAAAGTGAAATAAAATGCCGCCCAAGACTAGTGGAAAGGCAGCCAAAAAGGCTGGAAAAGCTCAGAAGAACATCACCAAGACCGACAAGAAGAAGAAGCGCAAGAGGAAGGAGAGCTATGCCATCTATATTTACAAAGTTCTGAAGCAAGTCCACCCTGACACTGGTATTTCGTCGAAAGCGATGAGCATCATGAACAGCTTTGTCAATGACATCTTCGAGCGCATTGCCGCCGAGGCGTCTCGCTTGGCTCATTACAACAAGCGTTCGACCATCACCAGTCGGGAAATCCAAACTGCTGTGCGCCTGCTGCTGCCGGGAGAGTTGGCCAAGCACGCTGTTAGTGAGGGAACCAAGGCTGTCACCAAGTACACCAGCTCCAAGTAAATTTGTTTCTCTGCAGAACCTAAGACAAAAAGGCCCTTTTCAGGGCCACAAAACATTTTCCCAAAGAAACGCCATTTTCAATATTGACAAACGAATAAAAATAAGATACTGTCCAATAAATTTCTCCAATGTGTAATTTACAGTATTTTGCATTCAATAGTGTATGAACATCTATTTTCTCGCGTAGTACAGTATGATTTGAACAAAAGGAAATCAAATACAGCTTCGGTTACCCAGAACGTTTTTGAAATCGTAACATAGGACGAATCATGGATTTACGTATGGTATGTATGTATGAACATGATGCCACAAAAGTTTGTCACAAGGTAGCTTTTCAAACCAAATGGTCGCCTGTTCATAAAATCAACAGATTTTTGGGCACCCAGGCACCCAAAAATTGAGTGGTGAACGTTTTTCGATATGGCAAGGGGCTGATAAGGCATTGTGCAACCATTAATGCTGCTAGAATAAATTTCTTAAATGTGTAAGTATTTGCATTCAATACTGTATGAACATCTATTTGCGAGAACAGTAGACAGTATGATTTGAACAAGGGGAAATCAAATACAGCTTCGGTTACCCAGAACGTTTTTGAAATCGTAACATAGGACGAATCATGGATTACGTATGGTATGTATGTATGAACATGATGCCACAAAAGTTTGTCACAAGGTAGCTTTCAAACCAAATGGTCGCCTGTTCATAAAATCAACGCACCCAGGCACCCAAAAATTGAGTGGTGAACGTTTTTCGATTTGGCAAGGGGCTGATAAGGCATTGTGCAACCATTAATGCTGCTAGAATAAATTTCTTAAATGTGTAATTTACAGTATTTTGCATTCAATAGTGTATGAACATCTATTTTCTCGCGAGATACAGTAGTACAGTATGATTTGAACAAGAGGAAATCAAATACAGCTTCGGTTACCCAGAACGTTTTTGAAATCGTAACATAGGACGAATCATGGATTTACGTATGGTATGTATGTATGAACATGATGCCACAAAAGTTTGTCACAAGGTAGCTTTTCAAACCAAATGGTCGCCTGTTCATAAAATCAACAGATTTTTCGGCACCGAGGCACCCAAAATATAGAAAAAAAAAGGTGACCCCATAATGTTCCCAGCTATACAAAAAAATTGAGTGGTGAACATTTTTCGATATGGCAAGGGGCTGATAAGGCATTGTGCAACCATTAATGCTGCTAGAATAAATTTCTTAAATGTGTAATTTACAGTATTTTGCATTCAATACTGTATGAACATCTATTTTTTGGAAGACAGAGTACAGTATGATTTGAACAAGAGGAAATCAAATACAGCTTCGGTTACCCAGAACGTTTTTGAAATCGTAACATAGGACGAATCATGGATTTACGTATGGTATGTATGTATGAACATGATGCCACAAAAGTTTGTCACAAGGTAGCTTTTCAAACCAAATGGTCGCCTGTTCATAAAATCAACAGATTTTTCGGCACCCAGGCACCCAAAATATCGAAAAAAAAAAAAAGGTGACCCCATAATGTTCCAAGCTATCCAAAAAAATTGAGTGGTGAACGTTTTTCGATATGGCAAGGGGCTGATAAGGCATTGTGCAACCATTAATGCTGCTAGAATAGGCTAAATCTTTTCAAAATGGGGACATGGGGGGATTCATATTCCTGCAGAATATTTTTAAAAGCAAAACCATTTTCAATACCATGTTCTTTCGCTGCCAGGCTAAGAATCTAAAATCGTATCTCTTATTGCCTATAAATGAAGTGGGGCTCGGCCGGATAATTTTTATCTCTTTTGATATAGTTTTGTAGCCCTGAAAAGGGCTTGTTTAAATCAATTTCAGATGTACAATCATCTAAAATTTCGAATGCGACCGTGTACACCAACGTGTACAAATTCGCAATTTACTTCTTGGCCGCCGTCGTCTTTGCTTTCGGCTTCTTTACGGTGGCGGGAGCAACTGGCTTCTTCGTCACCTTCTTGGGCTTGGCAGACGCCGCTGCAGCTGCAGCTACAGCCTTTGCTTTTGGTTTTGGCTTTGCAGGGCTCGACTTGGCCTTTGCCGCTGCTGGCTTCGCCTTCACGGTTCCAGCTTTCTTCACATCCTTGGCCTTTGCCTTCTCAGTTTTCTTCTTCTCGGCAGTCTTCTTGGTGGCGACCGTCTTCTTTGCCTTTAGCTTCTTGTCACCGGCCCCAGCTGCTTTTTTGGGGGCTGCTGTCTTCTTTGCTGCTGCCGATGACACCACCTTCTTGGCTTTCACTTTCTTCTCCACAGACGACGCAACCTTTGGCTTGGGCTCCTTTTTGGCGGAAGCCGACAGTTTGAACGAACCAGAGGCACCTTTTCCCTTTGTTTGGATCAGCTTTCCATTGGCAACGGCCGACTTCAAGTACTTCTTGATAAATGGAGCTAGTTTCTGGGCATCGCATTTGTATTCGGCAGTAATATATTTCTTGATGGCCAGGAGCGATGAGCCGCCACGTTCCTTCAAGCTCTTAATGGAAGCGTCAACCATTTGCTGAGTTGGGGGATGCGATGGTGGAGCTGTGGGCTTCTTTGCCTTTGCAGTAGCCGCAGCGGATCCAGATGCCTTTTTAGCGGCCACCTTCTTCTCCGCTGCTACTGGTGGAGCAGCCACTGGAGACGCGGATGTTGCAACTGCAGAATCAGACATTATTCTTTATAAAATTACACTTTTTAGTTGCAAAACGCGGCGGGCCTATGGTCCCCTGTTCGAATGAGAAGCGAGTAGAAGGGCAGTGGGAAGATGATTTCGGCATTGGTGATTTGTGTTGCAGAAGTTTCATTGAGCGTCTGACTTATTTCTAATTTTTAACGTATTTTTATCAAGTAATGAAAATACAGTTTTATTGAGTTAGATTCTTAAATGTTTCAAATTCTATTTTAAATAATTTATTTGTTAAATATCCTCCATTATCGATTTTTAATACCTGTCCAAACTTTGACAAGTAGTTAGCCAACTCTTATATTTGGGATTCAATGGTATTTATAAATAAATTTTAGCTTATTTGGCAAAACTTGTTTTTGAAATATTAAATTTGATCAATTTACTTTAAGAAACTATAGACGTATATTCACATATCGGTTAGTATGGTATTTTAATATCGTTTTGAAGACAACCCTATAGAGTACAAAAAGACTACTTTCTGGGTATGTTCAGCATTGAATTTAGTGGTCAAAAATATAAATGCTTAAAAATATATTATTATTAGGCATTTTTCTTAAGGAAATCAATACGATTTTCAATATAATATTATTTCTGATCCATTTTTGTTAATATTTACCCAAAAATAACATACTTTCATACCCACACAGCAGTGGCAATTTAATTAATTGCATTGTTAAAATCGAAAGAATACATTTTTCGCAAATTTTATTGCTTTATACGAATTATAGGAATCTTGAAAACATTTTTCCATTACTTTTGTATAATATTTTTATATATTTAAAATTTTAAACGGCCTTTTATTACATACTAGTCTTTCGATTGTTAGTCTAAAAAGCCTATGCCAAGTTGCTTCTGTCGTTTAAGCATATCTTTGACATTTCAAAAAATTGAATTTATTGGTCATTGGAAAAGCTTGGATACTAAAATTACGTTAAAATAATGTCCACAAATAAATGTAATACGTCAAAAAACTATAATAATATTGGTTATAATTTATGAGGTTGTTCAGCTGGTTGTTTCTGATTAGTTCATCCCAAAAAAACTTATTTGATTCCCCAAATAAATGAGAATTATTTGTATCGCCCCAAATTGTATTCCACCCACTTATTATTACGGAACATGCACACATGTTTCATTAACATTACAACAAAGAACAGAACTCATGAAGAATATACATATGCTAATACATTTAATACGGATCATATACGCTATGGATTTATTGGATGATTTTCCCACAATTCATTTTCGTATTCTATTTTTTATTTTAAAAAACAAGCTTATTTAATTTATTATGCGAGGATTGGTGGGGAAACCTTGGCTTTTTAGTAAGTTAGGGTCCCCAGAAAGGATTTTCTTTACAAGTCTTATTTTGTTTAAGTTGCTTTGAGCAGTAATGCCGTATATTAGGAGTAATTATTTCCATATGGGACCTAGTATGTACATATTTTATTTGGGGGAAAATAATGCGAGTATGTAGAAATAAAAAATCTCAATGTAAGTTATTTGTGGTCCTGAAAAGGACCGATTTGTATAGTTTATATGCGCTTGTCGAAGAAATGTCAACTTAAGCACGCTCGCCACGAATACGTCTGGCCAGTTGGATGTCCTTGGGCATGATTGTGACACGCTTGGCATGGATGGCACATAAGTTGGTATCTTCGAAGAGACCGACCAGATAGGCTTCGCTAGCTTCCTGCAGGGCCATTACTGCTGAGCTCTGGAAACGCAAGTCGGTTTTGAAATCTTGAGCGATTTCACGAACCAACCGCTGGAAAGGCAGTTTGCGGATCAGCAGCTCGGTACTCTTCTGGTAACGACGGATTTCACGCAGGGCAACAGTGCCAGGGCGATACCGATGAGGTTTCTTCACGCCACCGGTTGCTGGAGCACTTTTACGTGCGGCCTTGGTAGCCAGTTGTTTGCGTGGCGCCTTGCCACCAGTGGATTTACGAGCAGTCTGCTTAGTACGGGCCATTTTCACTTTCAATGTTCAAATTCGAATTGACAATAAGCGATCGCAGCCAACTATGCTAGCTTATATAGCATTCTCATTCTTCTGGTGGAGGGTTGAAACGACAGAACGAGAGCAGCCGAAGCATGCTGTTTCATATCCCGAACGAGATGCACATATCATTCGGACTCACTCGTGTTTCTATGGTGTTTTGGTATAAATAGCAGTGCGAGAAAAATTTTACTTACATTCGCTCCCGTTCTTCGTAAAGTGAAACACAAGCATATTGAAAAATGACTGGTCGTGGTAAAGGTGGCAAAGGCTTGGGTAAGGGAGGCGCTAAGCGTCATCGCAAGGTTCTGCGCGATAACATCCAGGGTATCACGAAGCCCGCTATCCGCCGTTTGGCTCGTCGTGGCGGTGTAAAACGTATCTCCGGACTCATCTACGAGGAGACTCGTGGAGTGCTGAAGGTGTTTTTGGAAAACGTTATCCGTGATGCCGTCACCTACACCGAACACGCCAAGAGGAAGACAGTCACAGCCATGGATGTGGTGTATGCTCTGAAGAGACAAGGTCGCACGCTGTACGGTTTCGGCGGTTAAGAAACTGTGTACAGTCTGCTGTTTGAAAGTATCCAGAAAGTAAACAATCGGTCCTTTTCAGGACCACAAAATAATCAAAAAGAGAGGCATATTTTCATATTAATTGATATAAAAAAAAAACAAGATTCAAAGCAGAAAACATGAACCTTGGCTTGGCAATCCAACAATATGAGGTGCTCCCATCTAAGCGACCGAAGAAAACTAGTGCATTCAGCATAGCATGGCATGATATGTATTTAAATACCCTAGAATTCGTCTTTCAGACACGTCGAGCACAACTGAACTAGTTCTGAAAAGGACCGAATTTAGCGGATACCTGGCGAGAGATATTGTTTAGGTATAAATCGGCTGGTAAAATTTGGTTCGTTTTTTGCCTGAAATGTACTGGAAAAGCAAAATCTCAGGTACACAAAGTATGGTCCCCCAGACACTCAGCCTCAGCCCCTTGAATTCTTTCGTCTTTCAGGCGAGTCGAGCACAACTGTACTTTCTTAGGTAACTTCTATCGTTATCAATTAAACGTATCGTTATCAATAACAGAAAATAGAGTCGCTTAGCCTGCATAAATATGTATTTTAATTGTCTGTTGATGCGACACCAAGCCGAAGTAGATTTTACTTTAGAATGATAATAAATTATGAAAATTCTCTTAATTCTTTAGCCATGGTTTGGTCGTCCTGAAAAGGACGTTTGGGTTTATATGTACATGTACAAGAATGCTATTTGCTGTGGCTATTGGAACATTTATGCCTTCTTCTCGGTCTTCTTGGGCAGCAGAACGGCCTGGATGTTGGGCAAGACTCCACCCTGAGCAATGGTGACGCCCGAGAGCAGCTTGTTCAACTCCTCATCGTTGCGAATGGCCAGCTGCAGATGGCGAGGGATAATTCTCGTCTTCTTGTTATCACGGGCAGCATTGCCTGCCAACTCTAGAACTTCAGCGGCCAAGTATTCCATCACGGCAGCCAGGTAAACAGGAGCGCCGGCACCGACACGCTCGGCATAGTTGCCCTTGCGAAGCAGACGATGAATACGACCAACAGGGAACTGAAGACCAGCACGGTTCGAGCGAGACTTTGCCTTTCCCTTCACTTTGCCACCTTTACCACGACCAGACATTTTAATAGTAGATATTTATTTATTTCACTGTTCACAAACGAATGGAGTTGAGTTGAGCACCCAATGACGCTATATTTATACCTTTCCGTCTGCTTGAGCGTTCAACCTAGGGGTGGGTTTTCCGCCTGTATGTTTAACTTGAATAGACTGCTCGAATAAAAGTATAAGGTTTGGTTTTTTTTACGCTCACCACGCAAAGTATAATTTGTGAAAGTAAAGTGAAATAAAATGCCGCCCAAGACTAGTGGAAAGGCAGCCAAAAAGGCTGGAAAGGCTCAGAAGAACATCACCAAGACCGACAAGAAGAAGAAGCGCAAGAGGAAGGAGAGCTATGCCATCTATATTTACAAAGTTCTGAAGCAAGTCCACCCTGACACTGGTATTTCGTCGAAAGCGATGAGCATCATGAACAGCTTTGTCAATGACATCTTCGAGCGCATTGCCGCCGAGGCGTCTCGCTTGGCTCATTACAACAAGCGTTCGACCATCACCAGTCGGGAAATCCAAACTGCTGTGCGCCTGCTGCTGCCGGGAGAGTTGGCCAAGCACGCTGTTAGTGAGGGAACCAAGGCTGTCACCAAGTACACCAGCTCCAAGTAAATTTTGTTTCCCCTCAGAACCAAACCCAAAAGGCCCTTTTCAGGGCCACAAAACATTTTACCAAAGAAACGGCATTTTCAATATTGACAAGCGAATAAAAATTAGAAACGTCCCCCCCCCCCCCCCCCATCTCTGAATAAATTTCAAATGTGTAATTTACAGATTTTGCATTCAATAGTGTATGAACATCTATTTTCGCGAACAGTAGTACAGTATGATTTGAACAAGAGGAAATCAAATACAGCTTCGGTTACCCAGAACGTTTTTGAAATCGTAACATAGGACGAATCATGGATTTACGTATGGTATGTTGTATGAACATGATGCCACAAAAGTTTGTCACAAGGTAGCTTTTCAAACCAAATGGTCGCCTGTTCATAAAATCAACAGTCGGCACCCAAAATATAAAAAAAAAAGGTGACCCCATAATGTTCCCAGCTATACAAAAAAATTGAGTGGTGAACGTTTTTCGATATGGCAAGGGGCTGATAAGGCATTGTGCAACCATTAATGCTGCTAGAATAAATTTCTAAATGTGTAATTTACATATTTTGCATTCAATAGTGTATGACTCTACCCCCCCTCAAGTGGTGACACTACTTCGCGAGATACAGTAGTACAGTATGATTTGAACAAGAGGAAATCAAATACAGCTTCGGTTACCCAGAACGTTTTTGAAATCGTAACATAGGACGAATCATGGATTTACGTATGGTATGTATGTATGAACATGATGCCACAAAAGTTTGTCACAAGGTAGCTTTTCAAACCAAATGGTCGCCTGTTCATAAAATCAACAGTTGGCACCCAGGCACCCAAAAATCGAAAAAAAAAAAAGGTGACCCCATAATGTTCCCAGCTATACAAAAAAATTGAGTGGTGAACGTTTTTCGATATGGCAAGGGGCTGATAAGGCATTGTGCAACCATTAATGCTGCTAGAATAGGCTAAATCTTTTCAAAATGGGGACATGGGGGGATTCATATTCCTGCAGAATATTTTTAAAAGCAAAACCATTTTCAATACCATGTTCTTTCGCTGCCAGGCTAAGAATCTAAAATCGTATCTGTTATTGCCTATAAATGAAGTGGGGCTCGGCCGGATAATTTTTATCTCTTTTGATATAGTTTTGTAGCCCTGAAAAGGGCTTGTTTAAATCAATTTCAGATGTACAATCATCTAAAATTTCGAATGCGACCGAGTACACCAACGTGTACAAATTCGCAATTTACTTCTTGGCCGCCGTCGTCTTTGCTTTCGGCTTCTTTACGGTGGCGGGAGCAACTGGCTTTTTCGTCACCTTCTTGGGCTTGGCAGACGCGCAGCTGCAGCTACAGCCTTTGCTTTTGGTTTTGGCTTTGCAGGGCTCGACTTGGCCTTTGCCGCTGCTGGCTTCGCCTTCACGGTTCCAGCTTTCTTCACATCCTTGGCCTTTGCCTTCTCAGTTTTCTTCTTCTCGGCGGTCTTCTTGGTGGCGGTGGCGACTGTCTTCTTTGCCTTTAGCTTCTTGTCACCGGCTCCGGCTGCCTTTTTGGGGCCTGCTGTCTTCTTTGCTGCTGCCGATGACACCACCTTCTTGGCTTTCACTTTCTTCTCCACAGACGACGCAACCTTTGGCTTGGGCTCCTTTTTGGCGGAAGCCGACAGTTTGAACGAACCAGAGGCACCTTTTCCCTTTGTTTGGATCAGCTTTCCATTGGCAACGGCCGACTTCAAGTACTTCTTGATAAATGGAGCTAGTTTCTGGGCATCGCATTTGTATTCGGCAGTAATATATTTCTTGATGGCCAGGAGCGATGAGCCGCCACGTTCCTTCAAGCTCTTAATAGAAGCGTCAACCATTTGCTGAGTTGGGGGATGCGATGGTGGAGCTGTGGGCTTCTTTGCCTTTGCAGTAGCCGCAGCGGATCCAGACGCCTTTTTAGAGGCCACCTTCTTCTTCTCCGCTGCTACTGGTGGAGCAGCCACTGGAGACGCGGATGTTGCAACTGCGGAATCAGACATTATTCTTTACAAAATTACACTTTTTAGTTGCGAACGCAAACGAAACGAAATTTGTTTATTGGTCAGTAAGTTGTTGGGTAATATTAACATTATTTACCTTATTTTATATATGAACAATGGTTGACAAATCCAGAGACATTAATATTAGTATGGGTATATGCTGCCTTGTGCTTTATGCTTCTCCAGGCTTAACTTATGGTTGTGTTTTTGTTTGATATGTTTATTTTGTACTTTGATTATGTTTTGATGGTACTATTAATGATGATGCTTAGATCATAGTTTGAGGAAAACTCTTTTAGAGTAAAAACCTCATTTTCATTGGGTTGTGTTTTGTGTTTGTTCTTAAGACTAGTACTATAACTATATAACTGATAACTACTTAATAATTAATTAATTAACGAGGATGTGGGTGATGGTGGGAGAAGGGTGGGTTTATGTACAATGGGAGTTAGGGGTTTTTGGGTATTCATATTCTTATTTTTACTGATTTTTATTAAAGACTAGATCCTTTGGATTGAGATTACAGTTTTTCTTATGATAAAATATGAGATTGTTTTCGTCATCATATACTATACCTAATTCTTTCAGATGGTTAATGTGCCTTATCATTAGCAGTTCATTAGTTTGAAAGTCTGATAACCTAAGCGGACTTATACTCTCCGAGATCAAGGGATTTGTACTGTTACCATTCTTGTCTATAAATTTTTGTATTATTTTAAATGTAATTGTGTCTAACCTATTTACGTTTGCTAATCTATAGAGTTTTTTATTATTAATGTATTTACATGTGTCTGGTTTTCTGGCAGGGGCACCAATGGCACGCCTAAGGATGCGTCTCTCATAGAGCCTGAGCATTTCCATTTGTTTTGATTGTATGCTGAACCATGCTACTTGTCCGTATGTTAATGTTGGCTGTATGAGTTTCTTATAAATGAGTGTTCTTATTTTTGTGACTCTGTCATTGTTGTCGCTGTTCAGTGTTCCAAAGGTGCGGTGCAAGCTGGCTAGTTGACCTTTTGCCCTATTCATTGCCTTGTTGATATGTTCTCTGAACTTTAATTTTTGATCATATATGACCCCCAGGTACTTGATGGTTGGTTTAAATTGTATTTGTGTGTTATTGTCAATGTATATCTGTGGCTGGTAAAATCGCGCATTCCGGTTTAGGTCTTTGTTCCTCGGCCCTTTGATAAAGCATCCTTCGCATTTGGTAGTGTTCAATTTTAGTCTCCACTTTTGGAAGTAGCTAACTAGCTGTTCTAGGTACCTGTTTAAGTCTGACTCTGCGGTGGAAATTCTGGCCCCTGTTGCCAGAAGTAGGATGTCATCTGCATAGATTAATGGCTGTATCTTGGCTGTGGATGTGGAGTTTGGTTCCCTGGTATAGTCTGGCATGTCTGCTAGGTATAAATTGTACAGTATGGGTGCCAGCAGTGATCCCTGCGGGACTCCTGCCGTTATGCTTCTAATTGAGGATTTTTCTTTCCCATTTTGGCTACTAACATAGAAAGTTCTGTTTGTAAGGTAATTGAGGATTATTCTAGTTGTCTTTGTGTTAAACTTGTGGACTTTCATCATTTTGTAGATTAGACCGTTTGTCCAGACAGTGTCAAAAGCCTTTTCGAGGTCTAATGCAACAGCAATTGTTGGCTTTTTTTTCTGTAGGCTTGTGTAAATGAAATTGTTTGCTACTGCTAGGGAGTGGTTGGTTGAGTTCCCCTCTCTGAAGCCGAATTGATGATCTTTGAGTGTTTTGGTTTTCTCCAGATGTTGCTTTAGCATTTCTAGCAACATTTTTTCGAATAAGTTACTGATTGCTGATAGGATCGAGATGGGTCTATATCCCCGTAGGGTTTTATGGTCAGATTTTGGTTTGGGAATCGCAATGACTTTGCTTTGTTTCCAAGCAATGGGGAAGTATCCGATGTTATAGCAGTTGTTAAATATTTTGGCGATATAATCGAGGATGATAAGATTGAATTTTTTTAGTAGGAAGTTGCTGGTATTGTCTGGTCCTAGTGTTTTTTTATTATTTTTACCCTGGAGCCATTCCAGTAGTTGGTTGGCGTTTGTGAAGCCTTCCCTCTCTGCTCCTTCCCACTTCCCGTCTGCAGTTTGTGTGTCACTAAAGTTTGCTATATCTGTTAGTATTGACGAGTCGTTTTCCACAGTTTCATTTACTATGCTAGCATGAGCGAGCAGCTCAGGTGAAGATGAGGTCATGTAATCGTTCTGCTTGTGTATGTTTTGGAATGACCAAGCGAGTGCATTTATTTTATCTGTTTCTGTTTTTATATTGAGTGTGGAAATGATGTTCATGTCAATGGAGTTTTGTTCTTGTGTATTTAATTTTATATCATTTTGCTGCTTTTTATCGGACTGACATAGGAATTTGGTGCTTATTTTGGATGGATCTAATTTTGCTATTTGGCTTTCTATGTTCTGTATGTGGGCAGATTCAATGTATAGTTTTATTTGCATAGACATTATTCTTAACATGTTTCTAGTGAGGTCTTTTTCTTGGCTTGACATGGTCTCGTACCTCCTGTGCAGGAGGCGATTGAGAGCGCGTCTTTGTGCAATTAGTTTGACGGCATGTTGGCTTATATGGATGCTTCTGTTTGGCTTTGACGGGTCAATGTGTATGTTGGGGACGACTTCTGTTGAGTCGATTGCTTTTTCCACCGCTTTGGTGAGCTTATCTATGTGATGGTCGATTTCATTCTTGTTTAGGTTTTTGTTATTGGGAATATGCGTTATGTTTCGCATAAGCATCATGTTTAGTTTCTCGATATTGATTTTTTTGTAATTTTTAACTATTTGTAAGTCCTGTTTAACTAAATGAAAGCAGCCAAGGCGTAGCTTAAGCTCAACACCAAAATGGTCTGCCGTGTAGTCAGTTATTATCTTGAGTCCCTCTCTCCCTTCGACGGGTAGCTCTGTTGAGCAAATGAAGAGGTCGATGGAAGAGTGTCTACCTGTAGTGTGGTTCCTTCTAGAAGGTTCATCAGTTGGGTATAAGGTGAGATTTGGTTGGTCGGTTAGCCATTTGTGGAGCGTTCGCCCATCGGTGTTTATATGTGCTGGGCTTTTCTCGGGGAGATGCCAGCTTGGGTGCTTGGCATTTAAATCTCCTGCAGCAATGATGGGGCTTAGGGTTTGCTCTTCAATAGAGGTGAGCAGTGCATTGATGTCCTCTATAAGGAGCCTGTGCTGCGGTCGCTTATATAGGCTGACAGCTACTATGGACTGTAGTTTGCCCCTGTTGTCTTTATAGTGTATTTCTATTGCTACCGCTTCCAGGAAGCGTAGTGGCTTAATGTCTATTTGTCTATATTTAGTCCCTTTTTTGATGCAGATTGCAACTGAACTGCCCTTGATTGTTGCTCTGGTCTCTGTAGCAATGGCTGTTTGTCTAATAAGTTGGTAATTTGTTAATTGAATATTATGTTTGTCGCTGAGGCGGTGCTCCGCAATGAGCATGATGTCTGGTTTGTGTATTGTTAATAAGTTGTCTAATTCGTATCTTTTTTGGAGAGATACGAGTGAATTAACATTTTGAAAAATGCATTTGAGCTGCATTATGTCATGGACATTTGGAATAGAAAGTCTAGTATGATTTGTTGTTTAACTGCTTTTGAGTTGCCGCTGTTTTTGGTGTTGGCATATTTTTTTGTTACGGATTGCATTATTTTTAGACATGACATGATATCCATCCCGAAGGCGTCAATGGTATCATTGTTGAAGTCCTCAAAGGAGAGGGTCAAGTCTTTTTTTTTATTCTTGATGTCGTTGCTATTTAATTTGTTTGTCATGTATTCGTGTAATTTGGGGTTACTTGTCACTATTGTGTTTTGTCTGGTTAGTGGTGGTTCTGTTAGTTTGTTTTTGGATAATAGAGACGCATAGGTTGCCTCTCCCCTGATGGCTTGGTGCGCTCTATTAAGAGTTTTGCTTGTTTTATTTTGAGATTGGTCCCTTTTTTGCTGCAATTTTCCTAATGCTGAAAGACGAATTGGGCAAATTTTGGCATTAGCTGTGTGCTGCCCCTTGCAGTTAACACATTTAACGTCTTCGGACGGACTGTCAGTCTTTTTAATTGGGCATTGCCCTGGACTATGGTCGTTCAAACATTTAACGCATCTGTATGATAGTTTACAATTGCTGGCAATGTGTGAAAATCTTTGGCAGTTGTGGCATTGGATGATTGAATTTCTATGAGGTTTTATGGTTTCTACTGATATGCGGCAGTTTAGTAATGTCTTAAGGTTTAGTAGTTGCCTAATACTTTCAGGGTTTTTTTTTATCTGTACCAGCCAGAATTTCTCTTTGTATGGTTTAATTTTTTCAATTTTTACATCTGGTAGGCTTTCATTGAGTGCCCCCTTTACTTCCTCTATATCGTAGGTGCTTAATGGTATTTTTTTTATAAGGCATGTGTATGGTTTCAGTTCTTTTGGTGTATGTGAAAAGTATTTGATTTGCTGGTTATCTAAGATTTCTTTGACTTTCATAAATGATGTCATGTTTGTAGTCTTAAGGTGTACAAGATTTTTATTCTTAATGTCTAGTATGAATGTAATGTTGTGGTTTTTTATCAAATTAGTAAGTAACTTAGGGTTGTAATTATAGATAGATATGTTAGGAATTTGTTCTTTTGGTTTTACCATATTTGATGCTGCTGCCGTCGCTGGAGATGATGATGATGGCAACGTTGCTGCTGTTGCCGTCGCTGCCGATGATGATGATGGCACCGTTGCTGCTGCCGACGCCGCTGCCTTTGTTGACGTTGACGTTGCTGATGATGGTGTGGTGTTGGTCTTCTTCTTCTTCTTCGTCTTTGTGGGCGATGGGCTCGACGAATCCTTGTGACGTTTTTTCCCCAATGAGGGATAGTCCGAGTCGGAGTCTGTGAGGATTCCGCTCTTGTTACAGTTGTTGATGTTGTTCACGTTGTTCATGTTGTTCACGTTGTTCATGTTGTTGATGGCTGTCTGTAGCTCATCATTTATTTTCTCCAGTTTATTGTTGTGTTCTCTCAGGTGTTGTAATTCTGTCAGAATTCCATCTAGTTGTGCGGTAGTGATAGTTTGCTCCTGCTCCATGTCGCATTCGTCATCGCCTTCGTCGACCATCACTTCATGGCTGTGACTAGCAGCGGCTAACTGGGACATATCCATTTTGGGTTTTGCGCGTTTATGTTTATATTTTTTTACTATGCGGTCACAACCGTTTTTCAGTACTGCCTCGAGCTGACCGCCATCCGGCAGCCACGACACGGCTCTTATTAGTTTTTCTTTACTTATGCTGCGCCTCTCAATGTTGTATTTATTATTATTATGCCGTTCGTTTAAATTGGCTTCACTGACTTTTTTTTCTTTTTTCCACATACGAGTATATATGATTTCCGATTTGCTTTCGATGCTTGTCTTAAGTGTCAATTTCACGTTTTACTCTGTCTTGTGTCCGTCGATTGTCGGTACACCCCGTGCTCCGGTCTTGAGAAAGACCCCGAGCACCGTTTTTAGAAATAAATTTCTCGGATGTTCGATTATTGTTTTTGATTTGATTTGTTTTTCTCCAATGCAAGTTTTCACCATTATTTTTCTTCAACGATTATTATTTGATATTATTATTATGATAGTTAATAGTGTAATGATCACGGAATATTTATTGGTCTACTGGTGGAGCAGCCACTGGAGACGCGGATGTTACAACTGCAGAATCAGACATTATTCTTTATAAAATTACACTTTTTAGTTGCAAAACTTTTTTTTTTTTTAACTTTTTGTTTATTGGTCAGTAAGTTGTTGGGTAATATTAACATTATTTACCTTATTTTATATATGAACAATGGTTGACAAATCCAGAGACATTAATATTAGAATGGGTACATGCTGCCTTGTGCATTATGCTTTTCTAGGCGTGACTTATAATTGTGTTGTTGTTTAATATGTTTGTTTTGTACATTTGATTATTTTTTGATGGTACTATTAATGATGATGCTTAGATCATGAGTTTGAGGAAAACTCTTTTGGAGTAAAAACCTCATTTTCATTGGGTTGTGTT